TGGTCCATGGGGTCGCGAAGAGTCGGACTCGACTGTGCGACTGAACAACAAAGCCTATCTTACCATTAGTTACTATTCATATTAACTGTTAGACATTTATTATTTTAAGTTCCATTACATCTTAATGCCACTATGGTTGTCATAATCAGACTATAATCAAAGAAGAAGAAGAGACTGGGCTTATACCCCACCCTTCACTACCCAAAGGTGTCTCAGCACGGCTTACAAACTCCTTTCCCTTCCCCTCCCCACAACAGACAGACACCCTGTGAGGTAGGTGGGGCTGAGAGAGCCCTGACAGAAACTGCTCTTTTTCAAGGACAGCTCTTATCAGAACTACAGCTTGCCCAAGGTCCTCCAGCAGCTGAAAGTGGAGGAGTGGGGAATCAAACCTGGTTCTCCCAGATTAAAGTCCGCGCACTTAACTACTACACCAAACTGGGTCTCTGGAGGAGGAGGAGGTGATGGGATTTATACCCCACCCTTCACTACCGAAGGTGTCTCAGAGCGGCTTACAAACTCCTTTCCCCCCCCTTCCCCACAACAGACACCCTACGAGGCAGGTGGGGCTGAGAGGAACCCAGAGATCCCTTTCTGCTGTCCTGGCGAACAGCCTGGGTTAGACCTCTCTTCCGTAGATCTGCCGATAAATCCCCTTTTAAATCCGGCTAAGCAAGAGACCCTTAGAATCTTCTGGCAGTGAGTTCCAGCGGTGACCTTTGTCTGTCCTGAATCTACCGCCAACCCTTTGCACAGGGTGACTCTAAGTATTATAACGACGGCGCCCCCCCTTCCCCACAACAGACACCCTACGAGGCAGGTGGGGCTGAGAGGAACCCAGAGATCCCTTTCTGCTGTCCTGGCGAACAGCCTGGGTTAGACCTCTCTTCCGTAGATCTGCCGATAAATCCCCTTTTAAATCCGGCTAAGCAAGAGACCCTTAGAATCTTCTAGCAGTGAATTCCAGCGGTGACCTTTGTCCTGAATCTACCGCCAGCCTTTTGCACAGGGTGACTCTGAGTATTATAACGACGGTGAGGAATTGTCACAGTCAGATATTTAACTGGCAGACAGACTTCGGCAGTTCCTGATCTAGCCAAGTTTCTTGGGAATTGCAGATGTGTTTTCGCAGGATCTTTGCTGTTCCAAACCACACTGTCTTCTGGGGCTGAGCTGGTGCAGTTTGCTCAACGCCCAGAATGTCCAGATGTTGCTTGAGACTTCTAGGCATGACTCCAAGGGCTCCAGTGACAACTGGCACAATGGTCAACGTCTTGCAAATCTTGCAAACGGGATCGAGGTTTATAAGATTATGCCTGGGATAGAGCAGGTCGAGAAAGAGGTCCTTTTCTCCCTTTCTCACAATACAAGAACTCGTGGGCACCCCATGAAACTGCTGAGCAGTCGGGTTAGAATGGACAAAAGGAAGGACTTCTTCACCCAAAGAGTGATTCACACACGGAATTCACTGCCACAGGAGGTGGTGGCGGCTACAAGCATGGATGGCTTCAAAAGGGAATTAGTTAAGCATCTGGAGCAGAGGTCCATCAGTGGCTATTAGCCACAAGGTATAGCTAGGGGCTCTCGGTCTGGGGCAAGTGATGCTCTGTTTTCTTGGTGCTTGGGGGGGTCAACAGTGGGAGGGCGTCTAGTGTCCTGGCCCCACTGCTGGACCTCCATTCAGTGGCTAGAGCCAGTTTGGTGTAGTGGTTAAGTGCGCGGACTCTAATCTGGGAGAACCGGTTTGATTCCCCACTCCTCCACTTGCACCTGCTGATGTGACCTTGGGTCAGTCACAAGCTCTGGCACAGCTGTCCTTGAAAAAGAGCAGTTTGTGTCAGAGTTCTCTCAGCCCCACCCACCTCACAGGGTGTCTGTTGTGGGGAGGGGAAGGGAAAGGAGTTTGTAAGCCGCTCTGAGACTCCTTTGGGTAGTGAAGGGCGGGGTATAAATCCAATCTCTTCTTCTTCTTCTTCTTCTC